TCGTAGTTATTAAGTGGATAATATATAGAGGAAAGAGTGAAGTTTTCTTCACTCTTGTTAATTCTTTTCTTACTCTAATCTAAATTCAAGAGTCTTTAGATTTCTTATCTTTTGGCAATAGCCATTCTAGTTTCTTTTTATATATATATATATATATATATATATATATATACATATTTTATCATATTTTTTAGAAAAATGTCTTACTTAGTTATTTGCTTTCATCGAGTTCTTATCATTCACATAGCTTGGTGGAATATGTATTTTTTCAACTTGGCATATAGTCTTATATCTCTTCACTTTTGTAGTATCAACCTTATATGTTTTTTATATTCAAGACTTTTTGAATATATCAAAATTTTATCAATATAATAAATAACAAATTTATCCAAGAATTTTCAAAAAATATCATTCATTATATATTAGAATATTTTTAATGCATTGATTAGTCTAAAAAGTATGACATTGTATTCAAAATTTCCATATCTTGTCTAAAATGTTGTTTTTATTATTAATCTCTTTCTTTTATGCCTACCAAATTATAAGCTCTTTTAAGGTCAATTTTTATATAGATCTTTGATTTTTTCAATTGTTCAAAGAGCCATGATTTCAATAATTATGAATAATAATTCTTCACCATTACTTTATTTAAATCTCAATAATCAACATATATTTATAAAGATTTGTCTTTTTTCTTTATAAATAGTATAAGTATTCGAATAGATGATTTTGAGTATCAAATTAAGTTTTTAGAAAGATTTTTTGTAATGTATTGTTATAAGGCCGTTAATTATATTTATAAAATATTATATATTGGTCTAAATGGTGGCTGAGATCTTTTTTGTGATTCTATGGTACAATCATAAGATCAATATTTCAGTAGCATATTTATATTTTTTTTTTCAAAAATATCCTTAAAATATTTATATTAAATTGGAATATCTTGTAAAACTTATTTGATTGAACTTTTCATTGAAGTAGCATATACCACAAATACAATGCCATTTTTTGGTATATGTATAAAGGCAATAGCTCCAATAAAAGAATAGCTTATTTCTTTCTATAATATTTTGATCTTTTAGAAAATATATAGATATTCTAATTAATATTAAGATTACATAATTCAAATTAAAGAAGTCCATTGAAAATTGGATTTATAAAAGCATTGAATGATGTTGAGGATAATATATGATATTTGATCTCTTAATATCACTTATAAAGGTTGTATTTCTTCAATAACATCTTCTAATTCAAGAACTTGTTCATCAATGACTTCAATAAGCACATAATGAGTCTTCTTCACTAATACGAAGTTGTCTTTAGTTATAAAATCTTTATCCATAAAATATGCTAAGGCTCTCTATTCAAAAGAACTTTAAAAAAAATTCCACAACTTTGAGATTTTATTTGTAGAAGAAGTATAAAACAACATATAGGATTTGGAGGTAGAAAGAGATGTTTTTTGGAAGTTGAAATTTTGTAGTGTTTAACTTCATAGTTCCTTCTTTGACTAAACATCCTTATTTTCCAATTTAGCTAATTCTAGATTCAATATCATACTTTGAGCTTATTTAGACAATTTGCTACTTTGTAATTTAATTCTCAGAGTATAAATTCAAATTTTCTTCCTATTACCTATTTTTTTCTATTAATGTAAGTAACTTAAATTAAGTTGTAACAATTTGCATAGGTTCACGGTCTATTAAATACTTTTTTAATATTCTTAAAGAAATAGCAATGGTAGTATGATTTTTATTATCAAAATTCCATCTTCTTTCTTGTCACAATTTAAATAATCAATTACTGCAAATAATAGCTTAAGATATAAGTTCTTCTAAATATTTAACTCATGGCATTGTAATCAATAAATTTTTTACATTGTCTCTCAAATCATATCAAAATCAAATCATAAATATCTTATCATTTCAATCAAGGTCACATATAAGGTATAGAAATTTTGTTACAAAAATTGCAGTTGAATGTGGTCTTTGTTGCAAGTTTTGTATCTTCTTCTTTGCTATTCTTTTTCAATTAATATCTCCAAATACAACAAAAAAAAATCTCCATAAAATCTTTTAATTTATATAATATTAAAAAAATATTTTTTAATAATAAAAAAACTATAAACAATTTTTTTTGAGTAAAAGAATATCTATAAAAGTAACTTGAGTAAATTTGTATGAATAATAAGAAAGATATAGGAGTAAGTAGAGTTGTACTTATTGTACAAAATCTCAAATATTGAATTGTGTTCTATCAAATTTATGTAACATGCTAGCATTTGATTCTTTTATAATAGTTCTTGAAACATCTTTAGGAGTTGTATATGATATATGTCTAGTACTTGCTTCTCTCTATTCAACAACTTTTTATTACAAATTATAAAAAAATTGTTTAGATTTTTTAAATATTAAATTAATCTAAGATTTTTTTATATGGATTGCATAGAAATATAATCTCTTTGTATAGACTATTTGTAAAGACTTGAAGATTTGTGAGAATAGCCACTTTATTTTTTATTTGTGAAGATGTACCTTCTATAATTTGATCTACTTTTATATTTATAAAGTATCTAAATAAGATCTTAAAATAATAGAAGAAATAAATATATATTTAAAAAATAGAAATGATATGGAATAATATTAATTTAAATAAAAGTAATCCACAACTTCTAAAATACTAAAATACTTTAAGAAGAAGTATAATTGTATTCTATTAAAAAAGAACCATAGCTCAAAAATTAAAATTTGTTAGTTTCCATAAATTGTTAAGAGCAAGATCTAAAGATTATGCAAAATTATAACAAGATAGTTAGATACATGAATATTATTACCAAATAATATAATAATAGAATAAAAATAAGACTAAAAGGTCTAAAATTAAACCACAAGACATATTATGTTGAGACTAAGGAGCCCCTTATCACTGACACCTATATATATTAGGATTCAAGTAACTTATAGATAACTTCTTGTAGAAGGTTTTGCCTTCAAGTTATTCTAAGATATTTCTTAAGTTGTTTTCTTATTGCTTCATTGTGAAGCAACCTCAAGAAACTTCTCTTGTAACTTCTTACATTGCTTGAAAGTTAAAGAACCTTGCAAGCTTCTTTTGGAACTTTCTAAAATCTTCTAAGACCTTCTTAGATCTTTTAAAACCTTCTAGAATCTCCTGAAGCCGTCAAAAATCTTTTAAAATCTTCTAAAATCTTCTAAAATCTTTTCTAAATAGATATTTGTAACATCTTTATTTTCATATTTAATTTTTATTTATTTTATTTTAATTTATAAATAATTATTTTCTTTCACTTTTAAGTCTGATATTATTTGAATTAAATATCATTCTTTTAAAAAAAATTATTTTAAAAATATAATAATTTTTTTTTAAATAGTATTTCTTTACATAATCAAAGACAATTAAAAAGGAGCTTGAAATATATGTATTTTAATTATTAATAAGAGAAAAATCTCAAAATATATAATAATAATACATATAATCTTTAAACAAGGAACTTGAGAGAATGGAAGTTCATAATTAAGCATGGAAATGGTGAATTTGAGGACAAAGTTGGAAATAGAGAGTTGGGGATAAAAACAAGGATGGAGAGTCAAGGATAGGGGATAAGAATAGAAACAAGGGATAGAATGAATGAATCGTGACATAACAAGGGAGAGTGTTGGTTTATTATGGACATATATACATTTATTCTAATAATTACCTAAATACATATTAAAAAAATACATGATTATAGATTTGAAATTATTTATTACAATTAATTATATGAATAAGAAAGCTTCTTACTAATAATTATATTATAATGTTGAATTTTGTCTTCATTGATTTCTTTTATTTGTTGTGAAACCAAACCCTCTTCGCAACAAAGTAAAAAGAATGATTAAATTTTTTAATTTAAATATATTATATATCCAAATATGCATCAAAATATATTACTATATTTGAAATCTATACAATAGAACTACTTTTTTTTATCAATGGTTTGTTTTTTATAAATTATTTTAACTTAAAATATTCCATTATAAATAAGTATAGATATATGCACTCATTTATATTGTAAGATCAAAAATCTTAAATTTTAAGAAAGAAAACAAAAAGATAAAATAAAAAAGGCACATTAAATTCATTATTATAACATGTGCATTTAGAATATGACATACTTAAACAAAACCAAACAGTTTGTAATTCTCATTGAATACTGCTATATATAGAAATATGATGATAATAATAATAATAATAATAATCTATTAGTGACCATGGTTTTGGAAGAATGTGGTGAAAAATTAAATGAGGATCATATTGTGAATTTTAACTGCTCAAACTAAAATACAAGAAATAAAGAAAATATTCTCATGCAATGTCATAACAATGTACCAAACTATATTAACAAGTGCATCAAACATTCTTTAGTCAATTGCAAGTAGTAGATATGGCCTTTACTACCAATGAATGTATTTTGATTTCAAAGATCTTCAAAACTAAATATTTTAGATAACACATTTCATAACCTCCAAAATTTAAGCTTTTACTTATCAAGAAATCATATGTTTGTGCAAAGCAAATCAGCAAAATAACAACTGAAAATAAGAAAGGAAAAGAAATAGAAAAAGAAGAGAGAGAACCTCACACATAGAGTAACAATCATTGCAGACATTCCAAAAAGGGATAGGGTATATAGATTCCAATAGATAGCTTGACATGGAGACCCTTCCTTCCAACATTAAATGCGACATCAATCAAGGATTTGGTTTTGCAGTGTGTCGTGGTGCCGCATCTGGGAAGTGGGTGGGAGGGAGAGGGGAGGAAGAAGAAGAAAAAAGGGAGCACCCCTCCCCAGCACATTCATCCTCTATCCATCCATCCATCAATACATCCATACATCCCGGGCTCTGCCCCTGCACAGGTGGTTCTCCCTCTCCCTCTCCCCTGCTCTTCGTCGTCTTCTTTTCCCCCCCCCCCCCCCCCAACCCTGTCAGTGACACCACTCCCTCTCTCTCCCTCCCCCTGTTGGCCAACCCTTCGGACTGAACCCCGTTCCCGCCCCCCTCCCCCTACCCCCACTCCATTCAGTTGTGTCCCTGCCATCTTGTGACCGTTGCTCAATGCCTTGCTCTTTGCCTCCTCCTCTTCTTCTTTTTTTGTACGTTCTTCGTTCCTCTCCTCTCGCATTGCCGCGCCTTTCCGTTCTGCACTCCCGTCACCCATTCCACTCACTTCTGCTTTTTCCTTCCCTCTGTCCACTTTGCATTATAAATGCATTTCATTCTGCACGATCCCTCTGGGTTCCTTCTCCGGTGAAGGTCGTTGGCCTTCAAGGTTCCAGGATATATTCAAGTGCTACATGCCCCAACAGTCGCGTATTGGCTTCAGGGTTAGTGGCTTCTTGTAAGCGACATCAGGTTAGAATGGAGCAGGCACAGGAGTTGGTTGCGGGGATTGAAGGTGTTCAGCAGCCTGATGTAGTGGCTCTCATCTTTCGACAGTTGTCAGAGCCTCAGGATGTCTTGGCTGCCGCTGCCGTTTGCAGGTTTACCCCTACCGCCTCGTTATTTTATTTTATTTATTTTTTTGGTATGTCATTGACTATCTTGTGACTTGAGTTTGCACCCTTTCCACCCAGGTTAGTCAACGTTGCTTTGCTTTGCTAATTGGAGTTCCGAGTTCCCCGTTACTCTAATAAATTTGTAACTCTCTCTGTTGCGTTACGGTTATTTTATTATCTGGAGGTAGAGCCTCATGTAAACTTTTGTGAGAGTGAGAATGAGGCAGTATGTGTGTGATCCCCGTGAAAATTTGGCGACGAAGTCGTTCCTGTACTAGGGTTGGAAGTGGGGGTCAGGTTAGCGATTAATTTCGCAGACCAGTCTGCAATCTTAAGTTTTGAATTTTCGGAGGTATTGAGCTTATTTGAATTTGATGAAGAGTCGAATTATAGCTCCTTGCTTCGTCACTGCTATGCATTCGGACCGCATCATGTGGAGAAGCAGATATCAACGTAGTTTAATGCGTTATCTCCAATTTTCGTCATCGTAATTCTGGGCATTGCTCGAAGGCGCCTTATTCGAGTCGAGCAGGAAGTTGTGGAGTCCAGAGGAACAGCGATTGTTTTGCTTTGCTCATATATATTTTCTTTTTTCTCAACTTCAGCGTAGATAAGGAATATTATCTCACGAGGGTCATGTTTTAGCAGCGCTATTGGAAGTACAGGTGTACGGGATTGTCTTCTCTAACCTCACGAACTTTGCTGTATCCTCAAGGAACGTCTTTAGGAATGGTGCGTGGAATGTGCGGATGTAAAGCATTCTGTATGGGTGCTTATCTCTGCTTAAAGATTATTCCGCCGTTTAAGTCATTTCCGGAGCCCTATTCACGGAACTCGGAAAGGAATGTTTCAATTGCAGCTCACCGAAATGCGTGAAGTCACTATCTCTAGAGTATGAAGCAACCCTCTAGGATTCTTTCTCTTGGAGGCATGCAAATGGGGCTTTAGCCTTAGTACTATTGTTTTTGATGATTTGCAGGACTTGGAGAGCAGCTGCCACGGATTTATCACAGCTCCGTTCGTGGCAATACGATGACGATTCTGCAACTGCAGCTGGAATTAAGTCTTCCGCCACACCTATGCAACCGAAGACTCCTCTTCCAAAGCATTGGGTGAACCCAACTACTCACTCCCCATTTTCGTCTTTTAAGACTCCAAGAAGCTTAGCGATGCTATCAGCCCCCTCGCCTATTCGCTCCCTTCTATGGCCCTGCGACCGCCTGACTGATGCTAACGCAGTGACTTCTAACATTGATGAGAATGGACCCTCACCACGAACCCCCTCTCCAGTGCAGCCCGTTGCACCTGGTGGTTCATTCCTTGACATAGTGTTAGCGCAAATGGTCATTGGAAAGTGAGTAATTCATTTTCGCATCCACCTTGGCACTTTGTCAAATCCTGAAGTTCTTTTTAGCCCAACAGTTTCCCAATTTTCTTTCAGAATGCTTGTTCGTTATCATTTTATGTTCGTTTGAGAATTCATTGTGTTGAATTATGATTAAATGTAAATGGTTTGGATACCTATGTCAGCCCCCGTATAGTCATGAGCACTCACGAGTCGTGAAGTTGACAGTGAGCTGTAGGATTTGAGAGATGTTTACCAACCCGGACTTCGATGCCTCTTCCTCTTTTTGTCTGCTTTAATCAGAGTAAACATTACCTGATTGTACATTCCTCTATGTCGCGACAGAAGGAAACTTATATGCATGAATTGGGGTTGTTTCAGGTTCGTCGGGGATGTTGACATCAGCTCCTCTCGACTTAATGACAAAAGTTTACAGTGAGTCCTCGTCCTTGTGAAAACACGTGTTGAACACAAAGTTCTCGAGCTTGCGTATTGTAACACTTCCAGTTGGCCAGAGAGCCTTAAAATCTTCAGGGATCGTTTGTTGTATGCAGCATTTGACTTTACTCTCTAGCTTTGCCGAATAATGTTCTCTGGGCTGACGGGACTCTGTCTGTACTCTTCATGTAATTGTATTTCTCATGTGAAATTTTGCAGAACCATTTTCAAAAGTTGTCCTCGCCTTCACACGCTTAGATTGCAGCATTTGTGTGTACCTTCGATGTATCCTTCGAACACTTTTGATTTGGGGCCCTCTCCTTTGCGTGTTGGTGATATTGGGCCTGACAATTATATTCTCCCACCTGTCCTAAGCTGTGGTTGTGGGCAGCTATCAGAAAGGGGTTTTGCAGCAGTGCGGTGGCATTGTTCCGATCTCAGTTCTGTTACACTTGTTCTTCAAGTACGTGATTATCAGAAATTTGTTATGTGTAATGTTTTTTACTTTGTAATTTACATTCATTATTAATTCTATTCAACTCATAGGTAGTCCTTTTCTTGTTGAATTGGTCGAATCAGAGGTAGGAGAAAGTCGTGGCACAGCAATGTCGAAGGGCCGTTAGCAGTGATCTTTCCTTGATGCTTGTAGTTTCTCTGTTCCTTACGAACGTGCTGCTAACGCTGATGAAAAGACTGAGTGCTGATTGCTGTTGTGAGACCTCACAAAAGTCTTATCATTTCTCGTGATTTTTTTTTCTTTTTTCTTTTACTTTAGAACGTTGTCAGGGTTAGTTTATTTTATCATCTGGTATTAAACTATGTGTTCACTTATGATGTCTTGTGACACCAGCACGTCATTTCGAAGAAAGTCTACCGGCAGGTGTTGTCCGAGCTAGGAGCACTGCCCAAACTGCACACTCTGTCTGTTGAGTTGCGCATGCCGTAAGTAATTGTTCCCTAAGTTACATCATTATTGTAGCATAACGTTTTCTCCACATCTCCCCCTTTCCCCCCGGTATCTAGAGCCGTTTTCATGCGAACATTTGCTGGATCAATATTTCAATGCCCAGGGCGTGAGGATTTGTTCTGCTCTGGTGTTCGCTAGTGTTCATTGAATTCTCTGCTGGCACCTGACAGCTCACTTGTTTGGATAGGTCATTTGGACAGTCTGTGAAATCGCAACTTATTTGGCAGGAGAACACACATTGTACAGATAAGGTCTGAAACTCTATCAATGCTCAAAACGTTGTGCTGGGGCTAATTGATCGTTTTCACTCATTTTTACTGACGATTGATGTTATTGTAAAGGAGAGACCGACTGACAGTCAGAAATCTTGAGCAATGGTGTGCAGGAATTATTGGCATTACTGAATGCAGGACCACCTCCACTAAGCGCTTTGGCTCTCAATCGCTGTGATCTCACGGAGGCATCGATCTCGGCTCTTGCATCTTCATGCCCAAATCTCGAGGTACCCACTTCTGATTCAATGATTTTGCTCCTAGCATCTGGATTGATTTGCATGCATCATGATTTTCTGAGGAATATTGTGCTTTTCTGCAGGCGATTGATCTGCGCTCTTCCTCAGACATTCAAGGAGAGCATGATATTCCTCTAAACATAGGGGCTCTCTTCCAGGTCTGTCCTGAAATATGTCTTTGTGTGTGATCATGGATTTGTTCCAGCACGTCATCCGTTGTGCATTTGATAGTGACAGTGGAAAAGTTCAACTAAGTATCGTGCTTAGGTGTACAACAGGTGGATTGTTGTACGTACACGTCAGTCTCCAATACTGCCTGTGCCTCATTTACCTTTTTTTAAGTGTATGTTTTAGTTGACTTCATCTTTTTGTTTTTTATATCGCAGAACTTGACTTGTTTGTCAGCAGCTGCACTAGGTGTATTCCAGACACCTGAGAAATTACCTTTTGAGTCCTGGGTTATGCCAGCCTTGAAGCGGTTAAGATTAGAAACAGTGGAGCCGTTGTCTCTGAGCCAATTGCAGACCTTGAAGTGTGCATGCGCTAGACTTGAAAGTCTTCATTTGATTTCAGGAACTCATGCAACATTGCAAGAGTCTCATATCTATCCAGTCACAGATGACACTATTCTAGAACATGGAATGTTGAACAGCTTAAGCACCTTCTAAGACCGCCGCGTTCGTTATATCTCTCTCGGATCACTGGCGGCGATGTTAACTTATCCCAAGATTCTTATTCTGCAATTTTAGTTTCTAATTGTGCAGTTATTTTTTTGCTGCAGTTTTTGACCAACGTTAAGTCCGTTTAGCGTTTGTAACCAAAAGTAACATGATTGAGATTAAAAAAACGTGTTTTTTGTCATTGATCAGATTTTGGAAGAGATACTTTTCTGGGGTTCTTTTTGTTTGAAATGATTGTTACTTGAATTGATATACTTTGCTTTGATTTCATAATATATATTTACTTCATTGAAGAATTTTTTAAATTTCAATGGTAAGATAAAATCTTGTTCAATAAGCTTATGAGAGATTTTTTTTAGCACTGCAGCTGTACATTACATTTTTGGATTTGGTATTAATTTTTGCTTGGTTTCAGTGATGTTTCAAGTTAAGTATCAAATACACATAGAACGTGTCACACCTCTGACAGCAATGTGAAATACACGTATGTAAGATTTCTGGAGCTCTGGCATTGTAAAATCAGGTCCACTCCATTGCCAAATAAACCTTAATTTTGTGACCAGTTAATAAGTTCACTAATGTACCAATTGGGCAATAAGTCATCAAGTAGCACGGTCTGTAATATTCAAAATGGTCAAAATGATATAATCTTTTGCAACTAATTTAACTGTAACTAACGTATAACTATTGAATGAAATAGATGTGTTAATGGGAAGCTTTAAAACCACAAATACATTGTTTGATTTAATCAAATATGGTATCAATTCAATACATCTAATCTTAGTTGCCAATAAATGATCATGTAGTTTAATTTCAACAAAGATAAGGAATATTGACAGAAGTTTTTACTTGTAACTTGTCTAATTTTGTCTTGAATAATTATAGAGAAGTCTGGTAGTGAAATTCATGATTGGAAAAACAATATTTTTTTGGATTAAATACAAGAATTTGTGTTCAAAACTTGTTGTTTGTGAAGAATTGTATAAATGGCTTCCATATCAAAACCAACTTCTCAAATGTTTATGAAAGATAGTAGTGGGAAAGTTAGGTAGTCCTTTTTAGACATTAAGAATATAAATTTATAGCTCAAAGCAATCTAAATGGTGGACTTGGAACCTAGAGGGGGCTCACTTAAATATTTAATAGTTTAGAGGTGTAAATAGGGTTATTTTAGTAATGGTTTGAGAGGCATAAATCAATCTACAATATTTACAAAGAAATCTTTAAGACTTCAATTTAAAGTGAGTATTAATACATTCACTTGTATTTTTGTAAGGTGTGATGAAAAATATAAGGTCTTATTGCATCTTATTGATTTGGGTCATAATTTTTAGGTCGAATAGTTATAGTCTTAACTAAGATGGTTTTAAGGGTATAAACTAAGAGGTATTTTGTTTATTATTGAGATTAAAAGTAGTCCCTTATTCTTCTAAACGTTAGTCATTCTTATTACTTTTAAATGATAAAGTTTTAGTTTTAAACTCTTGCCAAGATTGTTACAAAACCAAGCTTCGAAACAAATTCTTTTATAATTTTAAAGGTTAATCTTTTAATGCTTTTGAAAATTCATTGACCTTCTCAACCAAAAATATAGAATTCATCTTCACATTCCTTTTGCCATTAAAAACATTGTCTAATGTAGTACCTTCTTGTTTATCCTTTCTATTTTAATCATAGATGATAGATTGATGATTCTGTTTAATTTTTGATACTAGTATCTATATTAGACTTCTATCTATATGAATTACTTATAAAAAACCTAAAAATGATATTAAAAAGGTTTTAAAAATGATATTAAAAATGTATATGTAGAAGTAATGGATGGTCGACCTTTATCCTCTAGAGATGTCACTCATGAAATAATTCCATTAGAAATAACCTTTGACAACCATAACAACCAAGTAGTATTCAATGTCATTAGATCACCATTAAGTTCAACCATTTTAGGACTCTCATGGCTTGAAAAATACAATCTATGCATAGATTGGGTATGTCAAAAGTTAGAATTTTCTCTAATAGATCATAGAATCCCCAAATTTAAAAAAACTTCTAACATCCGATAAGCCAAAACTTAAACAATATTATTTATTGGAGCTAGAGCATATGGGAGGGTGACCAAACAAGGTACTACGTTTGTTGTCTATACAAATCCATAATCGGAACCTATGGTTGCTACAACAACAATTCCAGAGGCATATAAAGATTTTGCAAATATATTTGAAAAGAAAAATGTAGACATCTTGCCAAAGCATCACCTTTATGATTGTGCGATTGACCTTCAAAAAGGTTCTCAACCACCATTTAGACCCATCTACAATTTATCTTAGAATGAGCTTATAACTTTAAAAGAATACATTGAGGAAAATTTGGCAAAGAATTTTATTTGACATTCCAAGTTGCCAGTTGATGCTTCGATAATATTTGTGAAGAAGAAAGATGGATCCTTATGGATGTGTGTTGATTATCATGATCTTAATAAAATCATGGTAAAGAATTGATATCCATTTTCATTGATATCAGGACTTCTTGATCAATTTAGCCAAGCAAAGACTTTTACGAAGATTGATATATAAGCATGCATAACATGGTACGCATTAAGGAGGGAGATGAATAGAAGACAACATTTCACATCAGATATGGATATTTTGAATATAATGTCATGCCTTTTGAACTTACAAATGTTCCAACCATATTCTAATATTTAATGAATGATATATTTTGCAAGCATCTTGACGAATTTGTTGTGATTTATTTGGATGATATTTTAATCTTTTCCAAGAATTCGAAAGACCACAAAAAACATGTCTGCCTTATCTTGGAAAAGCTATGAAGTGTTGGACTATATGCAAAACTAGAGAAGTGTATATTTTATGCACTTTAAATTAAATTTATTGGATATATTATTTCCAACAAAGGTCTTTTTATGGATCCAAAGAAGGTACAAGCAACCAACAATTGAGCAAAGCCAAAAACTATACGTGATGTCCAATGTTTTTTTAGATTTGCAAACTTCTACATAATTTTTGTTAAAAATTATTCCAAGATTGCTATTCCACTTATGCAGTTGACATGCATGGACAAACTAAATTGGGGCTCGAAAGCAAAGAAAGCTTTTCAAAGCTTAAAAGATGCTTTCACAACACCTCCAATTTTGATACATCCAGATTTTAACAAGTCTTATTTTATGGAGACTGATGCCTCAAATTTTGCATTAGGAGTAGTCTTGTTGCAATATGGAGAAGATGGCAAACTTCATCCAATTGCATTCTATTCTAGAAAATTTTCAACGTCAAAAATTAACTACAAAATCCACAATAAAGAGCTACTTGTTATCAAAGATTCTTTTTAAGAATGGAACCACTTTCTTAAAGGTGCCTCTCATCAAGTGATTGTATATATAGATAATAAGAATCTTGAATACTTTATGTCAACTCAAGTCTTGAACCGTTGTCAAGCATGTTGGAGTATAATTTTATCATAATTTGACTTTAATATCACATATTGACTTGAGAACTAATAAAGATTATCAAATGCATTATTAAGATGTTCCTACCTTAAACCAAAAGAGGGCGAGGTAACATATGATCAACAATGGACAATCTTGTTAAAACCTAAGCAATTTTATCTTTTAGCAACTACTATATCAATGCCTATGGATTTATCATTTCTTGATCAGGTTTGTAAAGCCTCAAATATGAACCTTCTTGTTCTTATTATCAAGCATCTTGCCAACAACCTTCCTAAAGAGTCTTCTAAATTCAAGTAAGAAGACAATGTCTTGTTCTTTGAAGAACGTTTGTTCATTCTTGAAGGACCAACTCACTTGTGCATTCTTCAAATATGCCATGATTTCCTTGTAGCTGGACACTTTGGATTCATCAAGACCTTAGAACTTCTATCTAGAGATTTTTCATGGCCTAAGATGTAGAAGGACATTAAGAAATTCATACTATCATGTGATACTTATTCAAGGTCAAAAAATCCTTGGCATTGGCTATATAGACTACTTCAACCTCTTCCTATTCCAAGTCAACCATAGTCATCTATCTGTATGGATTTTATTATAGGTCTCTTACCATCAAATTTATTTAATACTATCTTTGTAGTTGTTGATTGATTGACCAAGATGGCACATTTTATACTTTCTAAGAAGTCAATTATTGGTGAAGAGACAACAAGACTCTTTATTGACAATGTCTATCATTACCACGGATTGCTAGATAACATTGTGTCAGATCATGGGCCAAAATTTGTATCAAGGTTTTAGAAGGCCCTTTTTAAGATTCTTAAGGTTGACATCAACCTTTCCTCTACCTTCCACCATCAAATTGATGGCCAAATGGAGCAGTGTCATGATATAATACAACTAATAAGTGAAAGAATGTAGACATTATTATAATATAATAGATCTTAATTCAAAGTATTAGAGTAAATTATCTTAGAAATATAGTTAATAGTCAAAAGGATAGTAAAATTAAAAAGTATCAATATTGGCTTTTATAAAATGGCCTTCTACTTACTTTGTTGGACCATAAATAAAGCAAAATAAAGTAGATTAGAAAAATAAAGAATGTGAGCATTTAAAAGAAGAAGATGGAAGTTGATTTTAATAAAAATTAACTCAAAAAGACAAAATTTTATATCCGAGGAGGGCCGGTTATTAACATGGATCAAAATCAGATCCCAAGGCACAAAACTGAGCACCTACAGTAACTATGGAATTCTTTTGGAGATCAAAGAATGAAATATCATAGCAAACTAGATAAGGTTTCTATGGGCATTTTTTTTGTGTAATTTGGATTTGTAATAACTTTATAAGGGCTTTACAAAGTTAAGTTTTTTTGAATGACTTGGATTTTTGTGAAATAAAATAGGATTGACATTTTGGATAATTTTGAGAGTTTTATAACAGATCTATGAATGAAATTTTGTAGGTTAATAGTTATAGTCGTTCTTAATATGTGTTGTGAATTTTATCTTGATCTAATGGTTGAATTGAGGATATTAAGGTTTAAGTAGGTCAAGCTCTCAGAAAATAGAATTTTAGGTTTAGTGAGGATTTTAAAGATTTCTTGCTATTTATTAGTTGGATTGGAATGAAATTTATGTGTGAGGATATAAGACTTATTTTCCTATATAAATGAGAATTTTGAGATCAATCGAATGGTAAAAATGAGAGATATTGGCTTT